AAAGCTGATGACTGGCTGAAGATGTCGTACGGATGGTCACGTTACTGTAACCGATTCTGGTGATCTTGGGGTAGTTGTTAATTTCAGAAACTGATATACAGTGTGTTGCGAAAAAAATGTCGCGCAAATAAACTTGTGCGTCTCAATAATTACCAAACAAAGACAGATGAATGTGGACTTATTTTAATGCTTATAAACTATTTTCTTAAGTGTAAAAATTTTAATACAAAATTTTATTGTAATACTAGTTTACAACGATTTTATAGATCCGATCGATCATCCCGAGGAATTTCAATACCATAAATTGGTTTAACTTACCAATATCTTTAGGCATTTATTACGAAACCAGCCAAAGGCTGTTTGTCTGTAAAAATAGTATGATTCCAATAATTATTCAAATGAGCTTGTGCCCATGCTTTTCGAGCATCAATATGATTACTGGTAAGTATTGGGGTGGCAAGTGGTATGGCGTTTTTGTATCTTTTTTTCTTCATGTGTCGACGCATATTAGTATATAAAATAGATACGCCATAAGTTTCCTGAATTTTTAATTGTATTTTTTTGGCAGAATGAATTCCATTCAACCAACAATGTAACGCTGTGCTTTGAGCTTTATGTTGACCATGTTTACAAAGTTTAAGTGAGAAAGAAGTCAAGAAAAAAGGTGGTTTACTTTTGCAAATGTAATTAATGACAGGTAAATAAATTATATAATATAGAAACCATGTAAACAAATCGCGTTTTTTTTTGTCGCTCGAAAAACCAAGTTTCTTATTTATGCGCCATTTTTTTGCAACACACGTGGTAGTATTTAAAGTCGGTTAATGTTATGCCAAATTTACCCTGGCATTGTGAGTACAGAGTACTCCGGTTGAACAGAACTTAGTAGAATTGAATAAAAACAATTGCCAATCTCGCTAAGTAACATATCACTCAACATCCAAATATACGGTATCAATTTACGTAAATCTTTTATTTATTGCATTATGCACATATTGATGCGTACAACTGTCTTTGCACGACGCGGAAAGGTAATTAAACGTGAATTTCACATGAATATTTTTTTACCTTTAGCCTGACAATATAGTTGTACTCTATAATCTACAATATCAGCTCTGTGCTAACGCGTTTTATATAAAAACTGTTATTAAGCATACAGATAGAAAGAAATTTCCGAACTTGACACTCGTAAGTGCAAAGACTTGTGGCAGAGTTTGAGGAAAATGGAACAGATACTCTTGCTTAGACGGTTCCTTAAGTTACAATAGTGTTGCCTATATATCATTTGCTACACAAAAATTAGTTGCCTTATTCTCATGTTAAACGTCAATGAATACTTAATTAATTTTAATGTTTTGATGGTCAAATTTAATTTATAGAAGTTAGTGCTTCTAGAATCAGACTTCTTATTGACTTGCTTTACGTCACATTGTTTCAGAACACTTTATTTAAAACAATAGGTAATAGATTGTTTAATGCAAATAGAAATCAGTTTTTAATTAGTACAAATGCTACTTTTAGTTAATGAACTAACATTACGTCTTTACTCGAAAACATTATGACATTCGAGAAAGTTTACAAGTAAATTGATAGCATTTTTCTATTTCTTTTGAGGCCAAATTTAGTTACATTAGTATAATTAAGACAGAGAAACGGACAAGTAATAAAAAATTTTTACAAGCTTTGCATACTTTTGTCCTAGTAACTTGTAAATATATTGCGAGTGATAAAAAATGCATCTTCAAATCAGGTATCATTAGAAAATAACAACAAAAGTTACAGATAAAATATATAGTTTATGCTAATAATGCAAGTAGTCAGTAAATTACGGAGGCCTTGGTCAATTTGCTGTGGCTGTTCAGTTGTTTGGTTCATCAGCGCAGCGATGGCCGTACAATATTGCATAGAAGACAGCCGGTAGTTAACGTTGAGCATATGAATAGAGTTTAGATTATCGGTATCAATAGCGTAGTCCCTAACATACACCGACCGAAATAATCTATTTGCTCTGATTATATGTTAATTGGGCTTAATAATACTTTCTGTCGAATCGCTAATAAAGGAACATTTCTTCGTGTGTGACTAATGTCATAATTATTTCCGTATATTTAAACTAGGTGATAAAATCTTAGTGATAAGAATCCCAGCAATTAGCGTCAATTTATAATATAACAAATAAATTAGATAAGAACCCCAAAAGCAAAAAAGTGCAAACGCCGTTATATACGCAAAAGCTAAACCTCAAATTTTATAGACCACTCTCCCACAAATACAGCGGTACGGCACATTGAATGGTTGTCGGTCGGTAAAGTATTTACTGTGTATCGAATAATAAAACAAGTACGGATTTTTTACTATGACGCAATTTACGTTAAAACTTCTCGTATTTTACTAAACATTCGTTCGCCTTTTTTGGCTAATAATAAGCAACCATTGTCAAATACAGCATTCTGAGATACGTTTAGAGCGTGAAATACAATACTTTTGGTAACGAAAAAAATAAAATTATGAGAGACTGGTTGATGATCAAAGTTTTAGGGTTAGAGAAGATAATGGATAGATAAAAAAAATTGATATCCATCGTGTCTTATTATCGAACGTTACAGGAATAAAGGTTATGCATTAAGAGTAAATTAACGTTTGTATAACATTAAGAGTATATCCGTGATCTGTAAACCCCCGATTATTGGCTCATGTATATAGGTATGTACGACTTAATGTAACAGTCTCTTGTAGTTAACCTACAATGTCGCAACAACCTTTTCAAACCTGGCAGAACTATCAACAACAAGAGGAATCGGTACAGCAACAGCAGTATGATCGAGCATACTATTGGGATGGCTCAAATTATGTGTATTATCAAGATTTGCAAGTAGAAACACAGTCTCGACAAGAACAATCATCGCTCAGTCCTTCACAATTACCTACCAATGTGTTTACCTTCGGTGGTCTGCCAACATATTCTATTTCGCAATTGATAAACGAACAACAAACGCCGGCGGCGTATATAGACGATTCCAATCTGGCTGTGCATGAGCAATCAATTACAGGCTCTATTCAGCAACAGAACGACACTCTATCTACTCAGCAAAACCAGCTTATGCATCGGCGGCAACGTCAACAACAATGGTTGTCACAGTACCCATATTCGAGACAACGTGAAGTACAGACATCAAACGAATTATTTACGCTGCCAATGGACCTACAAAACTCGGTTCAAGACATGTATGGAGTTTTTCCGATCGAGCAATCGGAATATTTCCAATCACAGGTTCGTATATTCGGTTTACTGTGAGATAACTGTACCAAGTTCACACATTCGCATACTATTATGACATTATAGGTCTATCCAACGAGTAGTCCAAGTATCTTTCAGTCGCAAGTAAACATTCTACAACAAAGTAACTTTGATCGATTAGGAAATGGGTTTCCAGATAAATCTTCTCAGATGGAAATCGACGAGCGATCTTTGCGATCTCAAGTAATCGGTCAGCGAGGAGGCCCTAGTAACGTATATAAGGAATGGATAGACAAGAGTATTCAAGAGGGATTTATTCACTGTTATTCAGAAAGAGATATTAAAGTGGGACGTATGCCTATCGCTACTGGTTCATATGGAGCAGTATTTAAAGCGACAATGAAACACACGGGAATGCCTGTCGCAATAAAAACTTTGGTTCAGCGTTCGGGTGAATGCGAGGAAAAGTTGTATAAAAAGTTAGTCAAAGAGGTTTGTTTGTTAATTTGTTTACTTAGTATCGTATGCCGTTTCATTGTTATCGATTTTAGCTAATACCTTATATGCGATTGGATATACATAGCTGAAAAACCACAAGAAAGTGAGCGGTCATCCGAATATTATCCGATTTCTAGGTGTCTGTAAGTATATGTAATTTTGTTATCTATGTATTTCTATACATTCTGACATATGTATTTTCCAATCTAAAGACGAAGATGATGGTTATCATATGATTTTCGAGTTTGCTTATGGTGGAACTTTGCGTAATCACTTGATACAACGTTTTCGTAGTTTAACATGGAAAGATAAGTACAAGCTCGGTTTGGAAATTACTAATGGGCTGAAACATATGCATGAAATTGATATCATTCACAAGGATTTGGTAATCTGTTCTGTCATTATGCTTTATGTTGCTCACCATTCTATTAATGATTATAAACTAATAATTGTTATGTCATTTGCAGTCTTCCTTAAATATTCTTATGAAATCAGGCATTGCAAAAATCACTGATTTTGGTCTATCTGGACAGATTATGTCCTCATCTATAGGTGAAGGTACTGCAGCATACAGAGACCCCTTATCATTTAAAGATCAATCATATAAACGTGGAAAGAAGTCTGACATCTTCAGTCTTGGGGTGTTGCTCTGGGAAATTTCTAGTGGGGAAATTCCTTGTAAAGATTGTACAAGTGTAACAGAGTATAGAAAAAAGGGCTATCGAGATTCTCCTTCTCCAGAAACACCAGAAATGTATGTTCAGCTATATTCAGCATGTTGGAGTGAAAATCCTAAAGAACGACCATCATGTAAACAAATACACAAACAATTAAAACTGTTATCTGATGATAAAAATCAGCATTTACCAGGTAGAACATTGGATCTTTCTCAGAAGCTGAGAGGTGCAGGAGCAACAGCACTGATAGTTACTTTAAAATCAAACCCTTCTGTTAACTCTTTGATACTCTCTCATAATATGATTGGAGTTGCAGAAGCAACAGCATTGGCAAAGGTTTTAGAATCAAATTCATCTCTGACTTCTTTGGATCTTCAGTCTAATAAAATTGGATATGCAGGAGCAACAGCATTGGCAGAGGCTCTAGAATCAAATTCATCTCTGACTTCTTTGAATCTTCAGTCTAATAAAATTGGATATGCAGGAGCAACAGCATTGGCAAAGGCTCTAGAATCAAATTCATCTCTGACTTCTTTGAATCTTCAGTCTAATAAAATTGGATATGCAGGAGCAACAGCATTGGCAAAGGCTCTAGAATCAAATTCATCTCTGACTTCTTTGAATCTTCAGTCTAATAAAATTGGATATGCAGGAGCAACAGCATTGGCAAAGGCTCTAGAATCAAATTCATCTCTGACTTCTTTGAATCTTCAGTC